TATATATATATTCCAAGAACCAGTAAGCATATGAAAATTGTTGAACCTCATTAGTCATCAGGAAAATGCAAAATAAAACCACAATGTGATACCACCATATACCCACCAGATGACAAAAATTGAAGACTGACAATACCAAATGATGTTGAGGAATTGGAGCAACTCGAATCTCAAGCATGCGTGCTGGTGAGAGTGTAAGATGGTCCGACTAGTTTGGAAAAAAGTATGAGTTTCTTAAAAAGCTAAAAATCATGACCCATTGTATTAGGGTGTTCTTGCATTGCTATGAAGAAATACCTGCAACTGGGCAATTTATATGAAAGGAGGTTTAGTTGGCTCACAGTTCTGCAGGCTGTACAGAAAGCATGGCTCCAGCATCTGCTTCTGGGGAGGCCTCAGGGGGCTTTGATTCACAGCGGAAGGTAAAGCAGGAGCATGCACAACACATGGCCAGAGCAGGAGCATAGGGGATGGGGGGGCAGCAGGTGTCACACACTTATATCCAACCGGATCCAGTGAGAACTCACTCACTATCATGAAGACAGCACCCAGATATGGAGGATTCACCCCCACGATCCAAACACCTCCCACCAGGCCCCACTTCCAGCACCGAGGATTACAAATCGGTATGAGATCTGGGCAGGGACACATATCCAAACTATATCACCCAGCAGTTCCACTCATAGGTATTTGCTCCATCCCAGGCCATGGAAAAGGGAAAACAAAACATAAGGGACCACAAGAAAAAGCTGTGCAAGAATGTTCATAACAACTTTATTCATAAGAGCCAAAACCTGCAAACAACCCAGGTATTGATTAATAGGAGCACAGAGAAACCAAACATAGTATAGTCATGTAATGGAATAGCACTCACCAATAAAAAGCAACAACATGGAGAAGTTGCAAAAATATTATGCTTAGTGAACAAAAGAAGGTGTCAACAAAAAGAGTGCATACCAAAGTTCTAGAACAAATAACTACATCTATGGTGGTAAAAGGGTTAGAACAGTGGTAGGCTCTGAGGGAGTGAGCATGGGGATTAACTGGCAAGAGGTATGAGGAAACCTTCTGGGGTGATGTTAATATTCTGTGTTTTGCTAAGCATTACATAAGCTTATGCTTTTGTCCAAACCCAGTGAACGTTCATTTAAGATTTGTGCATTTCATTGCATGTAAAATTTAGCTGAAAATAAAAAATGCTGTAAATACTAAACTTTACTTCATGATGTGCATGCTGAAGTATTTAGTGGAATGTTCACCGGTATCTCCAATTTACTTCGAAACACATCAGAAACTGAGATGGATTAGTATACAGAGGGCCAAATAGATGGATAGATACAGGTAGTGTGTAATGGGTGTTCACTGTAAAATTCTTTCAACATTTCCATATGCTTAAAAATTTGTATAATAAAATGTTGGAAGAATTCTGAAGATATTAAAACAGTAATGAAGGAAGGCTAGTCCTGCATGTAACATGCTGAAACATAAAAAAACCTTAATATTTAACTTAAGTAGAAAGAAAGATCAATGGAACATAGTAGAAAATTCAGAAATAGAACATCCCATATGGAAATTTAGTGTATGTTGTAAGTGGCAACCCAGGTCAGAAGAGAAGAAAGGGATTATGTAATAGTTTTGAGAGAAATGAGCTGCCTTCTGGAAGAATATATTTGGTTCTATGTCTCACACCTTATGCCAGGATAACTTCCCAATTGATCAAATATTTAAATATATATAAATATGTAGAATTCAGTGATAAATTAAAGAAACCACGGGATCATTCTTCTGTTAATACTAAGGGGGAAAAGTCCTTTCAACTATGACCCAAATGCCAGACATGATAACAGACTGATGAATTCAACCACAAACACGTCAGAACTCTTCAAACAAAACCACAATAAGCAAACTCAAAAGACAGAAGGCAAACTGGGGGAAGATTGTGAGATCTCATAAAGTTAATTTCTGTAATAGATAAGTAGCGTATAGCTACAATGCCAGCAACCCAATAGAAAAAAAAAAAGAGGAAAACAATATGAACAAATAATTCAACAGAAGACAAACGGTTTTTAGTGCCATACAAAATCCTCAACTACAAACATAATAATAGAAAAAATGAATTGCCATGTAATTTTAGCCTCCATTTCTATCAGCAGAAAAAAAAAGAAAGCTGCAGTGTATAATTCACTTTAAGAAGGAGAGAAAGAAAACACACATACACATATACACAACACATAAAAATGTGCTCATAGATATTTTTAAAAGCTTTAGAACATGCATTGCTTGTTCAGGGTGACAGGGAGGTTTTTTAACAGTATATCCTTTTATACTTTTAAATTTTGAAGCATGTAAATGGAATACCTAATTTTAAAAATTAGATTTAAGAAATCGAGAATAATTATATTGCAAATGAAGGCAGCAGCATGGGAAGCAACCCAAGCTCCAGTCCAACTCTGTTACTAATTAACTGGGTGAACTTGGGCCAGTCTCTTATTAACTATTCTGGCTAGAGAGAACCTCAGAAATATTCTCGTTCCACACTTGTTTTATGAAATAGGAAACAGAAGCACAGAATAAATTAAGTGACTTAGCCAATGTCACATGCAGTCAGTTTACGGCAGAGCCAACAAAAGCTGTCGATGTATCAATTTCTTCTTAGATAAGATGGGAGTACTGCCATTAAGAAAAGGTAAGCTGCAGAGATGGGTAGAAAATATTTGCAAATCGAAAAACTGACAAAGGACTTATATCTAGAATGTATATCTTTAACTCTCAAAACTCAACAATAGGAACAAAAATAAATACCTAAAGATGCTTAAGATCATTAATCATCTGGGATATCCAGATTCCTAAAAACCACAGTGAGACACCACTGTGCATCTATTAGAATGGCTAAAACTTTAATTTAAAAAACCTGACAATACCAGATTGGAAAGTATATGGAGCAACTAGAAATCTCATGCATTGCTGGTATACAAAATGCAAAATGGCACAACCACTTAGAAAACAGTTTGGCAGTTTCTTATAAAGTTAAACATACACTTAACCAATGCCACATACTCAGCAATCCCACTCCTAGGTATTTATCCAAGATAAGTAAAAAAGGACATTTACAGAAAAACCTGTACATAAATGTTTACAGCAGTTTTACTCTTATTCTCCAAAAGCTAGAAGCAACCCAAACGTTCATCAATTATAGCACATCCATGCAATGGACTATTATGCATCCATACAATGGAATATTATGCAGCAATCAAAAGGAACAAATGATTGATACATGCATCAAATTAAGTGGCTCTCAAAAGCACAATGCTGAGTGAAAGCAACCAACCTCAAAAACCTCTATAGTGCGTGATTCCATGTATATGACATTCTGGGAAAAGGCAGAATTGAAGGAATGGAAAACAGATCAGAGGTTGCTAAGTTCTGGGGCAGGGAGAGAGGCTGACTAAAAAGCGAGAGCATAAGGAAATTTTAGGAGATGCTGGAACTGCTCTGTGTCATCATTGTGGTGTTGGATACATGAATCTATGCATTTTTTAAACCCACAGAATTGTATACCACCAAAAGCAGATTTTACATTATGTAAATTTAAAAATAAATTTTTCCAGCTTTCTTGAGGTATAATTGACAAATAAAAAGTGTATATATTTAAGGTATACAATGTGATGTTTTGATATACATTATGAAACATTTGCCACCATAAAGCTAATTAACATATCCATCACCTTGAAGAGTGGAGTCATCAATCAAAGACTTCTGTGATCCTTTCCAGTTCTAGAAACATAAAGATTCTTTCACTTTAAAAAAAAAAAAAACAAGCAATTCCCAAGGAACTAGAACAGGTTTGTATTACATGTGGCACAAAAAAAATCTTATAATTTTTCTTTAGGAAAGATAAACCTGAATAACTATGAAATTCATAACGCAATGACAATGTGGAGAAACAAAAACCATGAAAAGAGTGTAAAAATAATGCCTTAGAATTTCATTTCCTTAACAATTCAGCTAGGTTTCAGGCATTCTAATTTTTCTCCCATTTGGAAGTGCTAAATTAATGGAAAAATAAGCCAGTGCATTTTTCTGTATTTCTATATCTCACTGTTTTAAGTTTTGCTGATCACACTTTAAACTTCCTTTTTATTTAAAGGTGAAATCATTGATAAACACCATCTCTATGAATCATTTTTCCTCCCTCAAAGCTTGTTCTTGTGACATCTGGACTGTCTAGAAGGACGTGACCCTTCAAATTATTCCTTGTTTATTTGCCATCTCTTTTGTTCCAAAAACTTTGAGTAAAATCTCTCTCATATAGTGTTTTTTTTTTTTACCTTTTTAGGGTGATGTACTCCTTTGAGAATATGACGTAAGCTATAACTCTATTTGAAAAGGTTTAAACAAAAACAAGACCATAAATACTGGCTTAGTCCACCTGTGCTTCTATAACAGCATACCTGAGACTAGGTAATTTATAAATAACACAAGTTTATTCTTATGGTTCTGGAGGCTGGGGAGTCCAAGATCAAGGCACCAATAGGTTCAGCATCTGGTGAGGGCTGCTCTCTGCTTCCAAGATGGTGCCTTGTTGCTGTACCCTTTGGAGGGGAGGTTCACTGTGTCCTTACATGTCAGAAAGGATGGAAGAGCAAAACAATGCTTCTTCAACCTTGAGCCCTTTAAAAGGGTGCTAATCTTGTCCATGAGGGTGAAGCCCTCGTGACTTACTTCCCAAAAGCCACCCCTCTTAATACCTTTGTATTGGGGATTAAGTTTCAAACTTAAATTTTAAAGGGGACACCTTCATTCAAACCATAGCAATACCCGTACATACACAATTCTGGTAGCAATGTCAGAGGTTCAAGAGCTTTATGAGTCCAGTGGATTTCAGGATTCCAGGGACATAGAGCACAGCTCCTGAGGGAAACCCTAGGTTCAAACCCTTGCTCTGCTATTTAACAGCAGTTTGACTTCGGGCATGTATTTATCCTTTCTCTGCCTTTGTTTGCTCAACCACAAAGTCCAAATAATAGTACTACTAGGGGATGGATGTAGTGGCTCACACCTGTAATCCCAGTACTTTGGGAGGCTGAGATGGGAGGATCCCTGAGACCAAGAGTTTCAGATCAGCATGGGCAACATTGCCAGACCCCATGTCTCCAGAAACATTTTAAAAAATTAGCTGGCTGTGGTTGCGCATGCCTGTAGTCCCAGCTACTTGGGAGGCTGAGGCAGGAGTATAGCTTGAGCCCAGGAGTTTGAGGCTGCAGTTAGCCATGATCACACCACTACTCCAGCCTGGGTGAAAGAGCAAGATCCTGACTGTTAAAGAAAAACGTGCTATTAGGATGTAACCATGTCTTGTCACTGGAAAGCCTCAATAAATATCACCTAGAAGGTGAAAGAAGAATTGACTGATGCCATTTTCCACGGCTTCTAAGTCAGCTTCCTTAGAAATTTGGATTCTATGGCGTATCATCAAAGTGTCATCTGCAATCCACTAAAGTCAACTGAAGTGCCTCCTGGTGGGAGATCCAGAAATGCAATGTTATCAAAGCAAATTATGTGCAATTTTATAGACTTTCATTTTCTAATGTATGACTAAGGGCTACAACTAGTAATTGACTGAGTTATTAAGAGTTACCAAACTAAAATTAGCACAGTACTTGATTTTATGGAAGCCTCTAATTCAGTTTTCTACTCAGACTCTGCTGCCAAACAACCCATGGCAATATCACAAGATACTTGCATCTCATGCCTACAGGTACTTGGTATCTCCTAGACTATAGGAAGGGTGCTTGTTACCACAGCATCATCAGCATTGTCTTGATTGTGGGATGGTTTCAATTGTTGTTACTCTCAACTTTGATGATTTATATTTTATAACTGGCTTCATCATTATCAATTTTGTTTACTGAGAGTCATTCAATGGACCCGAGGACAATATAATCAATCATATTCTGCCCTATAATTTTCCAATGATTCGGTTTTAAGTTGTATTTATATACCATGATTCCAATGGGAATCATTCAAATTCTGATGGCTGTAGCAGACATGCACATAATCCCCCAAAATATTCTCACTATTGGCACCCAGTGATCGGTTTTTAGGGAGGAGTAGGGTTGCCTGTTGGTTTGCTTACTACTGGAAAGTAAGAGTTGGTAGTAGAGATGAGAAAATGAATACCGTCTTTTTTTTCTGTCAAAGGAGACCATAGTAAAACATGCATGCATACATACACACACAACTAAGAATCACTAGGTAGCTAAATTTGAGATTAGATATCAATACTTCCCACCTGCCAGATCCTGAAGAAGTGAGTAAACTTTTCTGAACTTATCTAGGAAATCCAGACATCTACCTGGCCTCCTATAGAGACAAACTTTTTTTGTAAGGAGTAATTTGGTGTTTAACATTGTGTTTAACATTGGGCTTTGGGAGCCCCAGGGTCTCTGTCACAACTATTCCACTCTGCCGTGGTCATGTGAAAGCGGACATGGACAGTACAAAACAACTGGTGTGACTATGTTCCAATAAAGTTTTATTTACAGAAATAGGTAACAGCCCCACTGTCTGCTAGTTTGCTGAACTCTGCCATACACCATTGTGAAAATAACATGGCAAAATGCTGGTGATGATATTGTTGCTATCATCATCATCATCATCATCAAAGCACTCCCATCTGACCTTCCGAATCACAGAGGCAGGAGCAAACACTACTCAGGACATTTTATAACTAAGGAAGGCAAGTTCACAAGAAGCTAAGGCTTTGTCCACAGGGTGGGTGGATGTACTGAGAGAAGCCTTTAGCTTCCCTGACTAATAGGTGTCTCCTCTCTGTTAGAGAGCTCAGAAAAACCTCTGCCCATTGTACATTTATTTGTAAGGGATAATTTTCATGTCATGACACTGTCCTCACTACTCTCTGAGAGAAGCTAAACCTTCTCATTGCTGAGATATAAAAAATGCTATGGGAAAGATAGGCTTTTATTTATATTATTGTAAGCTTTTAAAAATGATTTTGCCTGAATAGGCTATATTCCTCTTTTCTGTCTGATTATTACCATTTTTATTTCCCAGTTGTAAAAATATATGTTTGCCATTTGTCTGAAGAACAATGCAACTCTCTCCAATCCATCACATAGCTCTGCTCTTAGCAATTCTCACAGCTCATCAGGAAAATGATTGCCTGATTAAACAGGCATGACTAAGCCACAACATCCTCAGAATGTACATGGAGCCCTGGGCCCCGAATGCATCTTACTCCAGCAATGCCAAGCATCGCCTGATGCACAGTGCAAAGAGCAAGACCAAAGGGGAGTTTTCAAAGGAAGGAAATCATGTATTTTACAATGAGCAGCATTTGTAAAAGCTATTTTCCAAGTTATTATGTGAATTGATTTTGGGAAAGCAATATGATTCTTTCAGCCTGATGATTCGACGAAATGAAAACCTTCAGAAAGAGAAAAAAAAAATCAGGTAATCTTTCTCCTGACCATGATTCATCCTGTGTTATCTCAGGGCTCCATTGAAATGCTTATTGTGCACAAAATGTCCTCCGATAATTTCTTTTAAAACATTCATTGTCAAATGAGCAAAGCAGCAGTCGACAGCTGAGTCTTAAAACCTAGAGTTCAATACTGAGAAGTGGGGTTGAGTTGAATCTTATCTCTGCTACATGGAAAACATCTATATGCCACTCACTGTGACTTCAGATGCAAGCTACTTGTAAGACTCAGTTTTTCCATCTGTTAAATGGGAAAAAAATAGAAACTGCCTTATGTGGTTAATGTATTGACATGCAGTTGACCTGAGAGAGGAGAGGGACTGGAGAGTGAGTTAATAATCATGCTTACATGATGAAGCCTCCCTACAAACCCCTAAACTAAAGGATTAGGAGAGATTCTGGGCTAGTGAAGACATAGAAGAGCTGGGAGAGCGGCACTCCTGGAGAGAGCACAAAGCTCCACTCCCCTCCCCTACACCTCGCCTTGTGCATCTCTTCCTTCTGGCTGTTCATTTGTATCCTTTGTAATATGCTTTATTATAAACCAGTAAACATAAGTAAATGTTTCCCTGAGTGTTGTGAGCCATTAAATTAAATTATCAAACATGAGGAGGTGATTAGAGGAACCTCCAATTTATAGCCAGGGTCAGACGCACAGGTGACAACCTGGGGCTTGTAATTGTCATCTGATGTCAGGGAAAGTCTTATGGAACTCAGCCCTTAACCTGTGGGGTCTGTGCCAACTACAGGCAGTTAGTGTTATAATAGAGTAAGTAATAAAACACCCCATCAGTGTCCACCAAGAATTGGAGAATTGGTTGGTGCAGAGGAAAAAACCCACACATTGGTATCAGAAGCTGTATAAGTGTCAAGAAAACAGTATTCTTCCTTTATTGTCAATCCTCTGAACTGTACATCCACTTTCTCCTTGAACTCCTACAATCTGATGTCATCAAAGAATTGTCTTATAGTAATTTTGCTCAGAACCACTCATACTTTTTGTCACTAACCAACTTATCTTGCTATCTTACTGGTTTTGAACTCTGAGCATTTCTTGTCAGCTGAGCCTTGCTGCTATGTCTGAATGTGTCCCCCAAAATAAATAGGCTGGAAACTTAATCCTCAATGCAACAGTGTCAGGGGGAGGGAACTGTCGGAAGGTGTTTAGGTCATGGGGAGCTCCACCCTCATGAGTGGATTAATGCTGCTATAAAAAGGGTTTTGGCAAAAGCAATTGCAGCAAAAACAAAAATTGACAAATACGATCTATTTAAACTAAAGAGCTTAGACATAACAAAAGAAACAATCAACAAAGTAAACACACAATCTACAGAATGGGAGAAAATATTTGCAAACTATCCATCCGGCGAAAGTCTAATATCCAGAATCTATAAAAAACCTAAACATATTAACAAGCAAAAACCCAACAAGCCTATTAAAAAATGGGCAAAGGACATGAACAGACACTCCAAAAGAAGATATACATGCAGGCAGGCAATAAACATATGAAAAAAATGCTCAACATCACTAATCATTAGAGAAATGCAAATCAAAACCACAATGAGATACCATCTCACACCAGTAAGAATGGCTACTATTAAAAAGTCACACAAAAAAAACAGATGCTGGCCAGGTGCAGTGGCTCAAGCCTGTAATTTCAGCACTCCAGGAGGCCAAGGCAGGCGGATCACATGAGCTCATGAGTTCGAGACAAGCCTGGCCAACATGGTGATACCCTATCTCTACTAAAAACACAAAAATTAGCTGGGTGTGGTGGCACATGCCTGTAGTACCAGCTACTTGGGAGGCTGAGGCAGGAGAATTACTTGAACCTGGGAGGCAGAGGTTGCAGTGAGCCAAGATCATGCCAGTGCACTCTAGACTGGGCTACAGAGCAAGACTCTGTCTCAAAAAATAAATAAATAAAAAGTAAAAAAATAGATTCTGGCAAGGTTACAGAGAAAAGGGAACACTTATATACTGCTGGTGTGAATGTAAATTAGTTTGGCTATTGTGGAAAGCAGTGTGGCAATTTCTCAAAGAACCTAAAACAGAATTACAGTTTGACCCAAGAATCCCATTATTGGGCATATTCCCAAAGGAATACAAATCATTCTACCATAAAGACAAATGCATGTGTATGTTCATTGCAGCACTATTCACAATAGCAAAGACGTGAAATTAACCTAAATGCCCATCAACAGTAGACTGGATAAAGAAAATAGACACCATGGAATACAATAAAATCATTTTAAAAAATGAGATGATGTCCTTTGCAGCAACATGATTGGAGCTGGAGGCCATTATTCTAAATGAACTAATGCAGGAAGAGAAAACCAAATACGGCATGTTCTCACTTATAAGTGGAAGCTAAATGATGAGAACACATGGACACAAAGAAGGGAATAATAGGCACCAGGGGCCGGGCAGAGTGGCCCATGCCTGTAATCCCAACACTTTGGGAGGCCGAGGTGGGTAGATCATCAGAGATCAGGAGTTCAAGACCAGCCTTGCCAACATGGCAAAACCCCCTTCTCTACTAAAAATACAAAAAAAATCAGCTGGGCTTGGTGGCGCATGCCTGTAGTACCAGCTACTTGTAGGGCTGAGGCATGAGAATCGCTTGAACCTGGGAGGCAGAGGTTACCGTGAGCCGAGATTGTGGCACTGCTCTCCAGCCTGGGTGACAGAGCAAGATCCTGCCTCAGAAAAAAAAATAATAAGTAGACACCAGGGCCTACTTGAGGATGGAAGATGAGAGGAAGGAAAGGATTGAAAAACTACCTATCAGGTACTATGCTTATTACCTGGGTGATGAAGTAACTTTTTACCCCAAACCCCCATGACATGCAATTTACCTATATAACAAATTCGCACATGTACCCCTGAACCTAAACTAAAAGTAAAAAAACAAAACAAAACAAACAATAAAAAAAATCATGCTTAAAAAAGAGGGCTGCTTTAGGGAGTGGGTTCACTCTTCCACTCTCTGCCATATGAAGACAGACTTCCTCTCTTGCTTTTCCACCTTCCACCATGTGATGACACACTAAGAAGGCCCACATAAGACGCCAGCACCTTGATCTTGGACTCCCAGCCTCCAGAACTGTAAGAAACACATTTCTGCTCTTTATAAACTACCTAGCCTGTGGTATTCTGCTATAGGAGAACCAAACGGACTAAAACACCTGCCTTAAAAAATATTTGTTATTTATTTATCCATCCTACTCAGGATTTTTAATAAGGAATTTTTGATATCTAGTGCATTATGTTGCCAAAACTAAAGTCAAAATTAAGTCAAATAAGAAATTAAAATGTCTCTACTAATGACCCATCTGCTTTCTGATCTTCCTTCTATTTCTCCACATTTCCCCAAAACCAGAAAGTCTCCTGACTGGCCCTATGGTCACTCAGGATCATTTTATTCTCAGAATCCAAACTTCTTCCTGCCTAGAATGTCTACCTTCTTTCCTTCCACCTAGCCCAGGGTTTCTCACCCTCAGCGCTACTGATATTTTTGCAGGATAATTCTTTGTTGAGTGAGAGGAAGCTGTCCTGTGTATTACAGGAAGTTGAGCAGTGTCCCTGGCCTCTACCCACTGGATTCCAGCAGCACCCTTCCTAATTGTGGCAAACATAAATGTCTCCAAGAACTGCCAAGTAGCCCCTGGAGGATTAAATGGCCCTTGGTTGACAGCCCCAGTATCAATGTGCAATATTATCAATAATATAATAACTAATATTAATAATAATTAATGTGCAATATATTCTAATCTGAGAGGTCAAATGGTACAATTTAGCACTACAGCACTGCATACATTACTGTCCTGTTATTCCATTTTTTTAAATTTTACTTCACAATCATTTTGTTTCTTAACTAGGGTAGCATAAGGCACAGAGCAGGGGCTCAATAATATTTATGTGCTGTGTCCAAAGGGAATAGTTGTTTGGCTGAAACTAAATCTGCTGGCCGGGGGCAGTGGCTCATGCCTGCAATCCCAACACTTTAGGAGGCCAAGGTGGGCAGATCACCTGAGGCCGGAAGTTCGAAACAAGACTGGCCAACATGGCAAAACCCCATCTCTAATAAAATACAAAAATTAGCTGGATGTGGTGACACATACCTGTAATCCCAGCTACTCAGGAGGCTGACGCAGGAGAATCTCTTGAACCCAGGAGACAGAGGTTGCAGTGAGCTGAGATCACTCCATTGCACTCCAGCCTGGGTGACAGCAAGACTCCATCTCAAAAAAAACAAACGTAAATCTGCTAAGTGACCATATCCTATAGTGAGCTTTAAACTACCAATTTTAATAATTTAATGATTCTAAAATTGCAAATTAATAAATTATATTGGATCCACTTGAGAAACTATGATTTGTCTGGCTTTTAGACTTTAATCAAACTTTAAATAGCATTCCAAAGTGTTAGAAATATTTCTGCTCTTTTTTGCAAAGAAGACAAATTGGCTGATGAAAATCAGTGGTTTTAGGTCACTCAGGAGTGATTAATCAAGAGATATTTGAATAAACATTATTAAAAGACAACACATAAGATGTGATTAAGGTATAATGATTATCAGTAATCATAAGGGTGAATAAATGGTTTTAAAATGTCAATTTATGACATTCAGTTATATTGTAAGAACAATCCTTTCATGTATTCTCTGTTTGTATCTATATTTACACTGGCAATATAAATTTAACATTAGATAATTCTTGAAATATGTTAATATTTAAACAGACAATTATGCTTATCAATGTTTTCATTTAAACTAAATCATGCTTTTTGAAACATTGCTGAATATGTGATTATACTTCTCTTTTAACTTTTGTTCATAAAATAGAGGATATTATTCCTTAGCACTAGATTTAAAGTATTTGTGTTAGTCTCAAATATTTCCAATACTTCTCATCGTTTTAAAAAGTTACCTTCTCAGTACTGATCTCGCAAATGTTAGCAGGTTTTTGAGGCATTTGAGTTGCAAGGACTTACATCTTAGTATAAATCCATCATAGCTAAATTCTTCATTCTTCTTCAAGTGTCCACACAATATCCAACATCCTGATGAAAAGTAAAAATGTTAATCATTTGAAAAGTAAAAATGTTGATCAGTTCCATGTATCTACATGTTTGGCACCACAGACAAAACATGACTGCCAGAAGTTTTCCTTCTCCCTTTGACCTGATGCTCCAGTGTCACACTGATACAGCAAAGGAAAAAGATGGTGTTCTGGGAGAGGAGAAAAATGAAGCTAGTCTTATTTGTTGAGACATCTTATGGTTATGTGAGCACCAAAGAAAAAGAGACATCCTTTACACAGTTCTATTACCAAAGGAAAAATTCAAGGAGGTATTTCCTTCTTGGTGTCCAATGACTGACTTACTCACACACCTCTCTTATCCCAGGCCACTATGCTCTGATAAATTGTCTGCATTGGGTTTTGGCTTTTCTCTTGTTTTGAACCTGTTTTCCTATGTCCGTGTTTGAAATGAGTTCTAGAATCCCATCAGCAAGTCTAGTTTGGATGAGATCTAGCTGTCCTTCCAAAAGTTGAAATTCATGAGCATCCCTTGATCTGTGTGTGTCTGAGTTGTATTTTAGATTGGTGCAAAAGTAATTGTGGTTTTTGCCATTACTTTTAATAGGGTTTAGAAGTCATTTAAGATCCTTCAAACCCTTTGTTCTGGGGACCAAGGTAGATTCAGGGTCTGACCAACAAAGTTGTTCTAGATTTCTGCTTTCCTAGGGAGCTGCTCAAGAAAATTAGGAAGGACCAATCTCTTTGCCTGATAGTCAACAGGACCTAGGGTGGAATCAGGGAAGCAGGGTTAGATTGAAAGTGAACGACAGAGCCCAACCTCACATAGAAGTACCTGTTCTGACTCACCCAGTACTCAGTGTGTAGTTCACGACAACATAAATGCCTGCTTACAGCTGTAAAAATAAGAGAGAACATGGGTAAATAGCTGATTGGTATCTGTAGTTAGTTTGCAAGCAGCAAAAGTAAGCTGATAGAGGGAAAACAGAAAAAGTAGACATTCTCACAATTGGACCCAAAATGATTTTTTTGTTTGTTTGTTTGTTTTTGAGACAGAGTTTTATTCTGTCGCCAGGCGCCAGGCTGGAGTACAATGGTGCGATCTCGGCTCACTGCAATCTCCGCCTCCTGGGTTCAAGCAATTTTCCTGCCTCGGCCTCCCAAGTAGCTGGGATTACAGGCGTGCACCACCACGCCCAACTAATTTTTGTATTTTTTAGTAGAGACGGGGTTTTGCCATGTTAGTCAGGATGGTCTTGATCTCTTGACCTTGTGATCCACCCTCCTCGGCCTCCCAAAGTGCTGGGATTACAGGTGTGAGCCACCACGCTCGGCCAATGATTTTGTTTTAATTTGCAATATAAGACATGAGTTCCTTTGAAGATTTTATACAGGTAAGTAGATAGCTAGATATATTGATAGATTACATAGATAAATAGATTGGATAGATGGATGGATGGATGGTTGGATGGATGGATGGATGGATGGATGGATGGATGGATGGATGGAAGGATACCAAGAGAGAGACAGATTTGCAACCTCTGAAAGAACCAAACCACTCTTTTCCTCCTAATGCTGTCTTCCTCACCTGAAATGTACCCCCTTCACCCTTCCTACCTGCTCAGAGCCTATTCATCATTTAAGTCCTGGACTGATGAACAAAGAGGAAGAACATAGTGACAACTCAGAAATAAGATTAAGTATCAGTACTTCTTTTAAATTATGTAATTTCACTAAATAAATTCCTGCTGCTCCTCTATGGCTGTTATATGTCATTCTAAGCTATCTTTGACCTGGCCCATTCCATCATATCTTCCCTTCCATGCCATCCTCTACCCAAGACAGCCCTTACAACCAGGGTTGGTGATCACCTTGCTACAACATCCACCACCCTCACCTGTAAATGGGTGTCTCCAACGATGGTATCACTGGATGGCTGCTAGGGTGGTGAAAAAAACACAGTTTTGAAGCCAGAATACCCCATTTTTGGACATTAGCTTCTTTGTTTACCAACTCAGTGACTTCAGGCACATTATTTAATCTTTCAGGATCTCAAGTTCCTTAGATATAAAACATGAAACACAATAATAATTCCTACTTCATGGGGATGATGTAAGGCTTGAATGAGATCATTTATTTGACCATCATACTTAGAAGTGTCAACCACTGTGAAGGGTCTGAAATTTTAGCAAACAAGCTAGCTTGCCTCAGATTCAGGGTTGCTGGCAGAAGACACGAAACTCCTGAGTCAGAGACAAATGACTCTACTACTCACAGCGGTATCAGCAGCCAGAGTATCATCAGTTAAGCCTATTCCCCAATCTCCAATTGACAAGATGAAATGCAAAGGCCATTGTGACCCCTGCACACACAGTGCATTACATTATAGGAGAGAGAACTTGAATATTTTATACTAGGCAGTACACCTGCCTGATCTTTGCCCTAGAGAGAGACATTATCTCTATAATACTGCAGAGTAAGCAAACAAATCTGCTGCATGCTCTAGACGAGACACTATCTCATCTCCCCAACTGTAATGGACATAAACACCCTTGAAAAGAGAGCCTGGAATAAAATAAGACATACTGAAACACAGAAAACCCTTGGAAAGTTATTAATATTTCCCAGTAAGAAATCAGGAGATCTCCACTCATTTTCCTTTCCTTGCTCTTGCCATTTCTCCTGCCTGGAATTTTCTCTTTCTTCCCTTCACAGATCCAAAGTCTTTGCTTCAGTCTTCCTCAGATATTCGCCATGATGGGACAAGAGGATCTGGTACAGCAGGAGATTCAGTAAGACTGGACGAACCGGGAGTACATTGAGAAAATCACCAGCAGCATCAAGAAAATTGCAGACTTTCTCAACTCGTTTGAATGTCTTGTTCAAGATTTGCAACACTAAGGGAGAAATTGACAGCCCATGAACAGAGAATAGAGTACATTGAAACATGGGTGACAAAAGGTGAGACACTCACCTAGCACAGTGCCATGCTGCTGGTGGGAAGTTGCTTTACAGAGCAGAGGCCACGTGAGAAAGGACCCAGCAGCCTTCAGCTCCTTCCTTTCCCCTTAAAGAGCAACAGGGCTTATTGTTGTTTTTCTTTTTTCAAAAGTGTGGCCTTTGGGTTCCTTTGGGTTCTTTCATGTACATCTGAGGATGTGATGTGGTATGTGAGAAGTCTAGAGGAACTCTTGGAAACAACATTAGGTATTTTTCCTTTCCAGTAACATTTTGTAGATCTACTTGTCAATGTATTTGAGACATTCACAGTCAAAAGCATGGGACCCTTTGTGAAGGTCCTGCCCACCCCTGTCTTTCCTTTCTCTCTCAGACTTTCTTTAAAGTTCTCATTGCTTCTATGAACAGTCTTTGTTTCCTCCACACCTTTGGTGGGAAGTAGGGGGCAGTCCTAGCCAAGACACTCATGCCCTGGCAATGTGACTACCAGAGAATGTTGTTGCCAACCCACCAGTTTCCTGCTGATTTGGAGAGGTCAAGCCCAGGCCCCCACTAGGCTTGAAGGAACATTTTCAGATGTTTCTTTCTGTCACTTGGGGTGTCTGTGCCTCTCAAATTTCCCTAATAAACTCCTCGACTTTATCTGATTGCTATGATTATGGTAGAAATAGGACCTAGAGAGGGGTTTACTTATTCCATAGAAATGGAATATATGGAATTCTTATTCCAACCAAACTTTCATATGTAGCTGTTTGATTCAAAGCCTAGGTGACTTACCAGCCCAATCCCCTATGTTTGGACTTTCAGCTGATTAGTTCATCCTGGGAGTCATTTGGTCATTCAGCACATTTATCAAGTACTTACTATGTAGGCAAGTTATACTCCAATAAAATATACAGTATTGAATCAGAAAAAAAAGTCTTTGTCTCATTCAAAGCACAAGACAAATGTCCCTTCCTTGAGGAGCCTTTTCCAAACACTCCAGTCATTATACATCCATTTGCAGAGTTCCTACTTCTACTTGTAGTCTGTCTTATAAAAACAAGTCATTCTTTGACTTGTTCAACACTTCTCCTACTTTCTAAAAACTTTAAATTTAGGGCTGTATTATAAGGGGTTGTAGTAGATGCTACTTGTGTCCCATTTGTAGCCCCTTAGCCTATGAGTGGCTAGCTAACTGCCTGACTTATCACCTGAGGGTTGTGCACTGCTTCTATGGACAGTCTTTTGTCTCCTTCACACCTTTGGTGGGAAATGGGGGCAGTCCTCACCAAGACACCAGTCCTGGCAATGTGACTACTAGAGAATGTTGTTGCTAACCCACCAGTTTCCTGTTGATTTAGGGAGGTCAAGCCCAGGCCCCCACTAGGCTTGAAGGAACATTTTCAGTGACTGAAATGTGCACCTGCAGACCTGAAGAGCTAGGGAATTAAGCTCCACTCCCCAGCAGCCTTCCACCAATGGCAGATGGAAGCTGGTGTATCAATGCCCAAGCTCCTTTGCTCCTTGGCTAGGTGCATGCTCTACCCTGACTCCCAGAATTCCTGTGGGGCCATAAGCTCCATTTACCCTCAGTGGAACCTGCTTGATGACAGACCCTTTGGTGGGTTCCCTCTCTTTCCTGTCTTGTTTTCCCCCTCGCCACCCAGTGTTTTCTGAGAAGACCAGCTCCCCCAAAACCTAGTTGCACTAAATTTCGATCTCAGGATCTTTTTCCAGGAAAAAGCAAACTGAAAAGAGTACCAACAAAAGATTATCATCTGTGGACTACACTGTGAAATTATTAAATACTTGTTAACATATAGCTTTTACTCAAAATCACTATCATATAAATTATGAGGCATTAAGTCCAATTCCATCATAAATATTTGAAAATCATTCCTTGTGTTCCCAAACAATAAATAATCATGATAGTACAGTTATACTATCACTGAAGTAATGTTTGGAGCCAAATGAATCTATGTGTGAAGGCAACAAAAATATCAGCAGCCAAGGAGATGCATTTGGCCCCAGAGTGCATCTGAAATGCTGCTTGACATCTGAGAATGACTTAGAAGTGCTCTTCCAGCAGTCCTGTGTGGGATGGGATGTGACAGGGAAGGTAACAAAGGTCAACGGCTTCTTTTTCGAGGACTTTACTTGCTCCCGCTCCACACTGACATATACCCTGAGCTTTTGATAACATGACATTCCGATGGGGAACTGCCCCCAGACCTATCATTGTGGCATGATTTGTAGCTTTTTTCTTCCTAGTAGTGAAAAGTGGATAGCTGGCTTTTCAGGTCACGAGTTGTGCTGTCATCCATGCTTGTAGCAGGAATAACAGGGGCATATTAACTGGGGTACATACATACCCCTTAAGGTGTGAGAGGAGTCATGGCTCTGAGGGAATTTAGGATGGCGCCCCTTTCCTGAAGGGATCAAAGCAACTCTAAAGGGAAACACATCAAACATTTTAAAGGCACAATGATAATGCAACAGAAACACCTGCCACCAGGATTCTGCACAGGATTCTGTCATGCTTCCCCATCATGACTGGATTGACACCAGGTTGCTAGGCTATTTCTATCATCAAATACAACATAGAATCTATTCACTGAACAGGGAATGGAAGATAGCCTATGGATCCTTTCCCCACCATTGCCCTGCAACTCACAGGAATGCATGCTACTTGGCCACTGTAACACATCAAGAACAGCTGCAGGAGGGGGCTTTGGCAGAGAAGCCAACTCTTTTGCCCTGCTCTCTTACTGAATGCACTAAAGCCATTCTTGCTATAATTAGTCCCCAAAGAGAAACTAAAGTAATGGGAAAGTGGAAGCTTCCTTGCTAAGACCCTAGGGATCTCTACTGAACTCCAGTGTTACTGAACTCTAGAAAGGATACGACTCACCTTGCTCTTTCAAAGGCAATCTGTCTCTGACATATCATCTAGGAGTTGTTTCTTTGATGTCTCCTGTGTTCTTTACTCTGTTCCATCTACCAAATGCATGCACACACGCACAAACCACACATACTTTATCTAAGAAAAGGCAGTTTTGAGGGATTTTTTTATCCTAGAAGTATTGACCTTTTTCAAGTTCACCTATAAAAATTAAGCAACCTAGTGTCAGTTTATCTAGAAAGACATAGAAAGCCACAGGAAAATAAATCAGTGGACCTAAAATACTATTACTATTACCATAAGGAATGTGAAATTTTAAAATAGGTAAATTCAAACATGACCCATAAATCAGGGTCCACAGTGTACAAAGCCAAAACCCTTCACACTGTGGATACCGGTCCAGGACAGGTGCACTCAAAGAGATTTGGGAAGAGTGAAGATGCCTAGGACATAGGAAAGCTACAAAGAAAGAGATCATTCTGGGGATGATGCTAGCTGGAGAAAATGATAACTGCATTTAACAAGAATGTGGGTGTACTCTGCAAATAGTTACTATATTAAGGAATTTCAAAGGTAAAGAGTAATTAAATATCAGCTTGAGTCTCATACCTGCGCTCAATCAAGAGGGGAAAAAGGTCCCCCAATCTCAGAACAGGATTCGCCTGAGAGGAAAACACATCCCGCTCTGAAGGAAAAATGTTCACTTCTGCCATCACCATCCCCCAGTGGCAGAACTGAGTTTGAGTTTTGGAAGTCCTCATATCCAGCAGAGAGCCACTATATGATGGCCTTGCGCTGGCCCTCGGGCCTCCTAGGTGCGTAAGAGTGCATGGAGGAGAGGATGGATGGGGAGAGGCTAGTGGACTCCATGCAAACCACCCAAAGTCTCCTGTGTTCCAGGAAGAAAGCTTTCTCCCAACTCCATCCTGCACATGGTGATGTTAGCCTCTATTGCACTTTCAGGGTAAGGCAAATCATGCCTGTACCCAAATCACCCCCCTTTTTCTCCTTTACTCTAAAACTGGCACTGATGACATACTATTTGACTTAGCGGTGTAGCAGAGTTCCCAGCCAACTGCTTCAACCATCCCATCCATGTGGGTCTCTGTAGTCACTACTGGCTGATGTTCCCCAAGGCTATTTCCTCTCCTTTCTGGGGCCACAGGTGGACTATGTTTCCCGGCCTCTCTTGCAGTCTCTTGTGGCTATGTCAAAAGAACAATAGTACAAGAGAAAGGTCAATGTGGAAGAGAAAGTACCAGTGGATGGTTAAATGTTTGCTATTCTGAGCTTTAGTGGCACCACAAGGAAAGAGTGTTCTTTGGATGAAAATTCCAAGAGATATAAGAGGACTAAACTTCACACAAGCTCACGTCAAATTCCAGTCCTGCCCCTGGCCACTCAAAGGACATTGGGCATGTCACACTTTCTCATCATAAACATGAGGGAATTTCATTGGATGGGCTCCAAGTTTTATCCCAACATCGATACGCCATGATGCATCTGTGGCTTGGTTATTCCTCCTAGCCACTAGCACATGGTTGCTATTTACTCTCCTAATAATTCAACCTCAATTTGATTTTGCAGCACACTTTCACAGTGCCACATCTTTTCCAAGGTGCATCTGTATACACTGCCTTTCTTCCCATCCAACAGCTCTGTAAAATAAGAAACAGAGGAAGCTGGCACCCCATTTAGAGATGGGGAAGCTAATGTGGTAAAACCAACAACCTACTCAGAATTATAAAATATTAGAGGCAGACCTGCAGTTAGAACTCCACTCTCCTGAGTACTGGTTTTCTTCTAATTCCTGTTCACTATGTCACATTCAGTTCCTGCAAAAAAAAAAAAAAAAAAAAAATGGTCACTAATGTTGCTTTATTAAATTAGTTCTTAAGCATCAATAATCAGGGGCACTGCAATTTATTCTATTCTCACTGTAAACATGTCAAATGATGCAGATGAAAAAAAAAGACTTAAACTCCCAAAAAAAAATGCTCCTGAAAACTTTATGAGGAACATAATTTAAATCGTTTGGACAAAGCTTACATTTACATGTATTATTCATAGAAGAGCTGGAGATTATGAAAGGTTGGGATTCACATTAAACTTATGTGTGATACAGGTCCCAACCAAAGTGCCATTTTTTTTCTACAAAAGAACAAAGTTCTTCATTTGGAAACATCAAAATAAACATATGTGAATCATCTCTCACATACTTCCAAGCCAATGGGCACGTCATTGGGTTATGCAAGGCATGCAGTAATTTTCTATGGTAAATTACAAACCAAGAGCTTTGACTGATGTCTTCTTTTTAACCAGTTATTAAGAAAACTTCTTTGCGCACTCATTAGGAAAGCTATAATAAAAAAGACAGTAATAAATGTTGGTCAGGATGTGGAGAAATTGGGACCCTAATAGATTGCTGCAGGTAGGAATATAAAATGGTGCAGCTGCTTTGGAAAAAGTCTGGCAGTTCCTCAAAAAGTTAAACATACAGTTACCATGGAACCCAAGTATCCACTCCTAGATTTATACCCAGGAGAAATGAAAGCACATGTCCACACAAAACCTGTACACAAATGTTCATAGCAGCATTATTCATAATAGCCAAGAAGTGGAAACAGCCCAAATGTCCATGAACTGATGAATGAATAAACAAAATGTGGTCTAGCATACAGTAGAATATTATTTGTTAATAAAAAGAAGTGACATTCGGATCCATGCCACAGCCAGGGAGAACCTTGAAAACACGATGTTCAGTGAAAGAAGCCAGACACAGAAGACCACATATTACATGATTCCATTTCGAGGAGAGGGGCAGAATAAGTAAATTCAGAGACAGAAAAGAGGTTAGTGGTTGCCAGGGTTGGGAGAAGGGAGGAATGAGGGGTCATGGATAATGAGCATGGGGTTTCTTTTTGGGGTGAGGAAGATATTCTGGAATTAGATTATGATCATGGTCGTGCATCTCTGTAAATAATAAATGTCAAATGCTTAGCACGATACCTAGCGCATGCTTGGCATTATAAGAGATAATACAATAGTAACTTTATTACAACAGTAACATAGTAATAACATTATTTTAATAATTTTATTATAATTGCAGCTGTGAATAATCTCATGACCTTCGAGCATGAACAAAAATCTCTTTTCCTGGTTTCTTTTCATTCAGATCAACCAAGTAGGGCCCAAAGGCCAAATGTGACCCCATGCCTGTTTTTATAGATGAAGTTTTATTGGTACTCATTCATACCTATTGGCTACATACTGCTTATGGCTGCTCCAGTGCCACAAACACATCATTGAATAGTTTCAACAAAGACAAATGCTTGAGGCGATGGATATCCCAATAACTCTGATATGATTATGACACAGCTTACGCTTGTACAAAAATATCACATGTACCTCATGAATATATACAATTCATATTTATCCATAATAATTCAATATAAAATATTTTTAAGCCTAAATACTATCTGGACCTATACAGAGTCATTTTGCTGATCACTCTGTTCTAGGATAGTCAGAATATTATCATTTTCTTCCTGAGAGAGAACGTATTACAATCCTTCGAGAGAAGCCAAGAAAATAACACATTAGCTGAGACAGGGCATGGCTATCACCCACTGGGACTCACAGGGCTGGGCTTTGCTTCTGCCTATTCCTTCTCCTCCATGCCCCGGCCTTCTTCAGACACCACTGTCAGATACGCTTCCTCTCCGCCTGATAAGCAGGTGTTGGAAGCACAGGAAGCCTTCCTGTAGGCTAACAACACTATCGAGGCTTGACTCTCCTAACTCATGTGGACAGTTAGGGTTTAAAAAACAATGTTGTTGGGGTACTATGATCTGTCCCAGAATGCTGGCCATGGCTATTTGATGTCATCCTGCATTCCAACTCCTACTGCTCCAAAAATGAAGTCAGTGTTCCATCAGTCCACATGAGTAAGAAGAGTAAAGCCTCAATAGCGCCGTTAGCCTACTCAGAGCCTTCCTTGATTGTCTGTTACCCCAAGTGCTCATGTCAGAAGCTATTTTCCAAAAGCAACTTTCATGTGTCCCATGTCAGGGTTGTCACCTACCACCATAGAATGTTTCACTCTACTAACATACTGTGGGAATTGATGCCTGTGTTTTTTAAGTTGACTGGGTTTTTTTGTTTGTTTGTTTGTTGGTTGGTTGGTTGGTTGGTTGGTTTAATGAAGAAGAAGAAGGAAGAGGACAGAGGAAAGACGGAAGAGAAAAGGAACAGTGACAAGGGAGGAAAGTAGGAATGGAGAAAGGAGAGAATCCGCGAGATTATTTCTTTACATGTCTGTTGCCCTTTCCCTCCTGGGGCTCCCACTGCCTGCCCAGTGAGATGTGCCACACTGCGTGTAAAAGAGGAGCATTGAGACAAATGCATGTAAACTTTTTTAAATAAACGAAAAGCAGGCGCAGAAGTACAGAAGCTTTTTTGCCTTTTCCAAGCAACCAGACAATAACTCCAGACTAGTGCATCAAAATCAAAGATGACTGCAGCTTCAAAGCTTCCTGGGAAGATCAAAGGCGAAGCGTGAAGAAGGCAGGCAGGATCTCTGAGGGCAGGAGGAGGGGCCCTCTCAGCCCTTATGGAGCTCCGTTTCAACAAACCAGAATCTCCTGTAAGTCAGTTCCCATGTTTAAAATCAGCCCTGATCCTTGCTCAGGGAGCTTTAGGGAAAGCTTCTTCACAGAAACAAAAATGAGACATCTTAGCAATAACACAGAAATCAAACTCTCCTGGCAGAAAGCTTCCAGGCCAATTCCTTGCCCTAACTCCCTAAAAAGATTGTCTTGCCTCACATTTTTTTTTTTTTCCTACTGAGTCCCGCTCTGTCACTCAGGCTGGAGTGCAGTGACACAATCATGGCTAACTGCAACCTCCGTCTCCTGGGTTCAAGAGATTCTCCTGTCTCAGCCTCCCATGTGGCTGGGACCACAGGTGCATGCCACCAAGCCAGGCTAATTTTTGTATTTTTAGTAGAGACAGGGTTTCACTATGTTGGCCAGGCTAGTCTCAAAATCTTGACCTCAAGTGATCCAGCTTGCCTCGGCCTCCCAAAGTGCTAGGATTACAGGCGTGAGCCACTGTGCCCAGCCACATCACATATTTTAAACTCTATTTTAATTGATTGCCTAAGAGTCCAATAATATATTCAGTTAGATGGCAGTGCAATCATTTTAAACTCAATATATTTACCCTGGTTGCATAAGACAGGACTTTGCTGCAACCTCCCCAAGTGCTGGAAAGAAGAATAAATATTAGCCCCATGTAGCTTAAATTCTTAGAATTTGACAACTGATTTCAGTATAATTGGTCAGAAATTTCCTCTACCTCTCTCTGCTGCTGTTATAAAATATTTCTCCCTTTAACTCATGTTTGCCAGAACACTTGTGCTGTGTAATTGCAGAGATATTCCTATAATATCCGAGTGTGGCGATGGAATGGATTCCACATAATTAGTTGAACATAATTGAGCAATAATATGTAGTTATGGAGGAAATTTATTGGGCCTCGTACAAAGGAAAATTTCGAGAGCAGTGGTGTGTTGATCCCAAAGTAATTGTGCAAAGCATCACCTACAGTACTGACTTTGTCATTTCTGCTTCAGAAATATCATTAACACACCTACCTCTACAGCAACATCCTTGACACTGACCTTCTCTTTCTGCAGAGTGGCCTATTTCAGAGTGGTCATAAGGGAACAAATCAGTAACTCTCAAGAACACAGGATGGTCTCTGGCACATAATATAGGTATCCAATAAAAAGTTGATTTGAAAATTACTTGTTAAAAAACTCACTGAAGCTGTGCTTTCATAGAGAAAACACAAGACACACATATTTCTAATGTAACTATCTCCTTATCTGGATTTTTCCTGTATGTAAAATAGCTGTTTCCCACTGCCTTAGGGACTGTACAACTATATGCTCTTAAAAATAGCTCCAGATAGCTAAGCAGTGCTTTCCAGCTGAAGAGAAAACATCATTATTAAAACCTAGGTCCAGATTCCGATGCCTATAAATGTTTTTCCAGTCATTTCCTATGCCTTGATTCCTGCAGAATCCACAAGCCTAAGGCAACAGATGCACACACACACACGTGCACACACACTCATGCTGTAAATAGAAAAAGCCAAAACTATCTTATAAAGTGTTTTCATTTGTTAATATCTTGAATCTTGTCAAATTACATCACGCCTTCCACTTCTTCCACACCTAAATGTCACCTACATCTATCTTTTGTCTGATTTGAAAAGATTGTGGAGGAAATTTACAAATCTATAAATAAGCAAATAAGGCTATATATAAGTGTTTCTTATTTTATTGATTGATTGTATACTGCTACACCCAAGCTATTTCTATTCAGTACACACAGGATGCCTAAAGCATTAACTTTTTCTGAAAAGCTAAGCTGCCCCTAAATGTTTGATCCTGATGTTTGTTCCCCTGAAACAGGTTAACGAGTATTAAAAAAAAAAAAAACTGGCTGATTTTTAATGCAACCAGCTTCACAAAAACAGATGGTGTATGACTTGCCTAATTAGATAACACAGATAGAATCTCATTCCTTAAACAAAGCTGCCTCTTGAGCAGGCCTGCTGCATATCACGTACCCCAGCCGTATAAATGAGTCTGCCAAGTAGGTTTTTCCCCCTGAATATCATCAATCATGTTATTTCTGGTTTCTTCTCTTGTCCCTTGTATGTCTCCAGGCTCTATCTTCCTGTTTATATCTACACTGACAAATATGAGAAAAGATGGACAAATGCCAAAGTTCGACACTAACTTTTAACATTAAAATAGCTGAAAATTTGAAAATTTTCCCAAATGAACATTTTTCACTGTCAAGAAAGTCCGTGGGGATATATTTGTTCTCCATACTGTAGTCTTGTGTGGCTAAGAGGCTGGATTTTGAATGACCACACCAAGATATCAAACCAACTCTTTAGTTTATTCCATCTCTCTGCATAAAAGCACACCCAAAGAGTTGCCTGAGATCAATCCCCCCATCAGGGTGGGATCCAGACATGCCTCCTTATTCTCCAAGATTATCTTATGGATAATTATTAGGCTGTGTCACCAAACCCATCCCTACCAAAACACACACGTGTGCATACACACACACACACACACACACACATACATACATCTAATTTTCTGAAACAAGAAGGCCTAAACCAATGATGAGAAGAAGAAACATTTGTCAGTAGCACTTTTATAGACTACAGTCTTTGGTTCCTTTCATGTCTTTTTGGAAATAGCTAGAAATGAAGGTGGTGAGGGAGTCTATTTCTGGGCCACTAACCCCTTCAATAAGAATCTTGCATGACACAAAGAGAAACACTGGAAATACAGCCGCAGCAAGGATTTAATGGAATTCCTAGCTGGGGGCCCCAGGATATAGGTGTGTGGATTTATTTTTCCAGTTTTAATCTGGAAGAAAAGGAATATCTTGTTTCCTCCATTGTTTAACATTGATGAATCCTTCTGTCTCCAAATTAATTTCCCTATTGAGACTGAGAGTGCACGGAAGGAATACAACTAGTTTTCATCCTTTTATCCCTGACTCTCAGGACAGTGCCAAGCAGAGAGAGTGCTTCATGATTGCTTCTTTCTATAAGTGTGGTGTTTACGGATGCCTTGGGACCCGACATGGCTTCACAGTGCATCCTTTTTAAACACACACATGAACACTGAGATCACTGCCCTCCTCCAGCTGCTGCTCTCAGTTACACAAAACTGAGATTCCTGCCTTCCTCCAGCTGCTGCTCTTATTTACACAAACATCGAGGTCACCGCCCTCCTCTAGTCATTGTTCCCTGGGCCATAAAATCATCCACGTTCAGGGTTTAATTTTACTAGGTGATAAAAATGGATTGCAATGCCTGTCTGGGGATGCAGTTTGACCCATTTTCTCAAGCCTCTATGACTGTGTTCATTAAATTCATGCATGATCACCCTTCAGTAATGTTCCAGTAAGATCTGGGGAGGGAGCCACCACAGCAGTGTCACAGTTTCCAAAGGTCCCCACATCTCCTCAAAAACACAGACAGAATGAGCAGGTGGTAACACCACACATGCAGCAGATTCACAGCAAAATCAGGTGAAGAGCAACCTGCAAGGTTTGCAGTATCAGTGTCTGTATGGGAGGAAGCAGTGGAAGCATCAGGGATTCTGGCAGACCCAGAAACAGAAGAACCTGGAAACAGCCAATGGGCTTGTGCTGGAAAGCATAGTGGGTCCATGTGAGGACAGCAGTGGAAACCAAGAGGAGTCTTGTTGAACTCAACAAACATTCCTGCCAGTCTGAAGGGCAGGGGGGCTCTCTGGCCCTTGGAGCTGACACCGGGTTCCGTTCAAGGCAGGGCCCTCACACCGCAAGCAGAATCCAACCTGAGAAGGGCAGGGACAAGAGAAACAAAGGGAAGAGAATCTCCAGCAGACCATAATCTTGTGAAATCTGCATAAAAACAACACAACAGTGAGGTCAGTAAGATTAAAATGCTACTCAACACAACTACTTCTAATGGTTTAGGAAAATTAACTTCATGTAAAAATGAACAATAGAAAAGGATCATGCTTGAATCTGACTCAAATTTATTATAAGAAATGAAACAAGAAGGAACAGAGTAACATCTCCACAGACAAGAAAAGCATGCCAGAAAATGCATTTTTATAAATCGCTTGAAAACTGTAATTTTCTGTTTCTAAGAGAGCTAAAAAATACTCATAGAAATGGCACACAACAGGAAAATACAACATAAATCAGAAACTGAAATACTCAGAGATCACAATGCAGAACTCAAGACAATAAGAAATAAGGAAAATAATCTTAGAAATAAAGAATAAACTAGAAAAAATATGGGAGAGAGTATATTTAAAATGACAAGAAACATAAAAGCTACAAAAAGGAAGAAAATTTAAAATTTAAAAAAAGTATTTGAAGGAAACTGACAAGTATTTAAATGAGCAAAGAACATCGAACATGTTGACAACAGAAATCCCTGAAAGAAATCCCAAACAGGGCAACAAGTAACAAAAACTATAATTCAAGAAAATATTGCAAAATACAAATTTGAAATGACATAGGAAAAGAGCAACTAACATCCCTGAGACTACTGACTCAGAAAACTGACATGAAGATGTTATCTACTAAAATGTCTGAACTTTAAAGGAAAAGAATCCGTGGATGTATAGGCAAAAATAGAAGTCACACATACGTAAATAAATTTACATCATTATCAGAGTTGAACAGCAAGGCTTTTTTTTTTCCCCAGTAGAAAATGGAGCAATATATTTAAGACAGGGTCCCCAACCCTGGTCCGTGGCCTACTAGGAACCAGGTTGCACAGCAGAAGGTGAGTGACAAGCGAGTGAGCATTACCGCCTGAGCTCTGCCTCCTGTCTGATCAGCGGCAGCATTAGATTCTCACAGGAGTACAAACTCTACTGTGAACTGTGCATGCAAGGGATCTAGGTTGCACGTTTCTTATGAGACTTTAATGCCTGATTATCTGAAGTGGAACAGTTTCATTCAGAAACCATCCCTCCCACCCCACCCCATTCGTAGAAAAATTGTCTTCTATGAAACCAGTCCCTAGTGCCAAAACGGTTGGGGATTGCTGATTTAAGATACTCAAGGAAGGAAACCATGACCAAGTTTATTATATTGAGTGAAATTGACCTTCAAGCATAAAGAACACAAACTTAAGGATGTAAGAAGCCAGGGAATGATGTTCCCAAGAGCCCTTCCAAAGGAGTCTGCCAGACAATGAGTTACAGAAAACCAGAGTGACTGACTAGAGAGACACAGACCTAAGGCTGATGGTGAGAATTAAATACATGACTTGTACACAAAAACTAACCTGGAGTTAAAAGGAAGAGAGCATACATATAGTGACTATACTCAGACCATGTGAAAAACAGCACAACCATGAAAAATGCGGAAAGACTGAGGACAACAGAGTGAAATTTTCTGAACTGTTTTTGGTAACCATTTTGGTGGTGATAATGGTAGCTTTTGTATCATTATTTTGAGACAGTTGGGTGTTGATGCAAGACAAAGCAAATGGGTAATTATAATTCTAGCCTTTACAATGTTCTGGAGAATGTGGATCATTGGTGTGGGAAAAGGAGATTAAAATTACACATAGACATTTTAGCGTTTTGTCAGAAGCGTCCGCGCCACGAGGAGGAGGCCCTGCTGATTTCTGTGCGGGCTCTTGTTAGGATGGTGAAGCTGTTCATCGGAAACCTGCCCCGGGAGGCCACAGAGCAGGAGATCCGCTCTCTTTTTGAGCAGTATGGGAAGGTGCTGGAATGTGACATCATTAAGAATTACGGCTTTGTGCACATAGAAGACAAAACTGCAGCGGAAGATGCCATACGCAACCTACACCATTACAAGCTTCGTGGGGTAAACATCAACGTCGAAGCCAGCAAGAATAAGAGCAAAACCTCAACAAAGTTGCATGTGGGCAACATCAGTCCCACCTGCACTAATAAGGAGCTTCGAGTCAAGTTCGAGGAGTATGGTCCGGTCATTGAATGTGACATCGTGAAAGATTATGCCTTCGTACACATGGAGCAGGCAGAGGATGCAGTGGAGGACATCAGGGGCCTTGATAACACAGAGTTTCAAGGTGGGATGTGTGTGGGCTGAAATTCCGAGCTGCGGTTGTGCATGAGAATACACCCTTCGTGGTACCTCATCTCCGGGACGTTCTCGGCTTTGTGCGTTCAGTCCCTTAGGAACCGTGGACCTTAATTTACCTTGCTAAGTTCAGACCTTCTCTTCCTTTACTTTACTTTCCTCTCCTGCCCGTTTTCCTGTTCTTCTGTCCTTCAATACTTCTGTAGCTTCCCATTCATGTTCTGTTCTCCCAGCAGGCCTCATTGTGTGCCGAAACTGTGGTGGGGGCTGTGCTGTCTCCTCCCTGCCTCCTGCCTCCTGCGGCTGTTGGATTTGGGAATGACCTTGGTGAGAGTCTCACTGCCCCGGGTCTCTTTTTGGTCCAAAGGCTAGACCTAGAGCATTGGATCACTTTTTTCTTTCCGGTGAAATAAATGGTTTTTCAACTTAAAAAAAAAAAAATTCACATAGAGGTAAGTATTACTGTGAACTCATAAACTACTTTGCCTTAAAAAAATTTCCAGCTCTTTCCCCCATAATTTCCTGGAAACAATGGTTGTCCAATGGCAATGAACAACCCTAGCACCAAGATTATGTGTTTGAAATATCATTTCCCAGTGAAATACACTAATAGATTTTTGAGAAATGGCCAGTTTCTAGCCTGGAGCTAGAAGACATACAAGATAACCTCAAAGATCTTACCATAGCAGATATCAAGAAAGCCATCAATGACTACTCTGTATCAAAAGGACTCAAAAGCCAATAGGAAGAGACTCTCACTGACCACAATAGGACAAACTGAAGTTTTATAATGATAAGAACTGCAATGGATTGAAACCTATCTGTTTAAAAACAGGATTTTGTGATTAAATTTTTAAAAATTAATTGGTCCCTTACTGAGGATAATAAGAAATCAATCTATTATCTTAAAGACTGGTAAATAAAACTAAAGAATTAAGCTTCTATCCTCCCTTTCTCACAGGAATTGCATCACTGAGTAACCACAGAGTAGATGAGAATTGACACCTAATAACATTATTACAGCTAATAAATGCAAACAATATGATACAGTCAGAATATCACCATTTTGCAACTTCCAATGATTTAACAGATCTAGGCATTGCACGCCAACAGCTGCTAACATCACAAAATGCGTGCAACTCAGTTACCATTATGGCTCCTGAGAAAAGAACTCAACACTGCCTCATGCTGCCAACAAACTGACTGTAAGTCTGGTCAAGCCTCTATATCCAGCTGCAGGAAATACAGAGAACACAGGAAAATATTCAGCTGCACCATGAATAAGCAATCACAAATGTCCAAATCACTTTGAGAAATTCAACAGGTCCAATGCCCTAGCTTTTTCAACAGATAAATTGTAAAGAACAGTAACAGCAGAATAAAGGAATGGAGGAGAATGTTGTACATTAAAAGCCTTTAAAAGATCCAACTATACAATTAGGCAGAACCCATAGTGTCTAGGGATACATATCTTAGGGACAGAACTACACAGAAATTGCTATAAAAGTTAACATAGTGGGCACACAGCAAGATAGAAGGGATATGACTAGGATGGGTCACATGAAGGGGCTTCTACAGTGTCAGCCAATGTTCTTTCTTATGATGGGGTGATATTTACAAGGGTGCTTGCCACATAGTCATAAATTAACCTATGCACTTTTTGTGTAGTTTCCTTTTTTTTTTTTTTTTTTGAGACAGGGTCTTCCAGTGTTGCCCAGGCTGGAGTGCAGTGGCATGATCATAGCTCACTGCAGCCTCTACCTCCTGGGCTCAAGCGATACTCTCAGCCTCTCGAGTAGCTGAGATTACAGGTGTATGCCACCATGCCCCAGCTGGTTATTTTATTCTTATTTTTTAGAGGCAGGGTCTCACTGTGTTACCCAGGCTGGTCTCAATCTACTGACCTCAGGTAATCCTCAGCCTCCCAAAGTGTTGAGATTATAGGCTCAAGCTACCACAGTTGGCCAGTTTTGTATAGTTTTCTGTTCCTTTCTTTCGTTTTACAGTGAAAAGCTTAGTTAAAAAGGTAGAAAATTAATAATGCTTCAAGTTATCAAAGAATAGGGACAATCATATAAAGGAAAAAATTCAACAGGATAGCTGAAGCTCTGGAGAGAGGAGAGCATGGAGCTCCTAACTGCAGGAGTCAGGGCCAGGGACTCCGGGGATCTGAGCATGGATGTGCTATTAAAGAGCTCAGATAGCCCAAGTCCTGAGCCAGGTCTGCTGGACTAAGAGGGAGCACCTGGCAATGACAAGAGAAGTAATTAAGGAAAGCACCATGATTCAGCTCCACAGGGATGGATCCCAAGACAGAAACCACCAGCCACGGACTGGTAGGCTGGAGAAGGAGAACTCAGCAGGAAGTCGCTACTATCTGGCTCCACCTCATCCATCACCAGACACCAGCAGTATGTACGAGATAAAGATAGGCTGCAAGAAGAAAATCACTTTAAAAAAGGAAGGACACTTTGGAAAATAAGATATTTTTTAAAAGAACGATAATAATTTTTCCCTGAAATACATGTTTCTGAAAGCTTTTCTGGAGGAACCCAAGACCAACATCATTTTCTGGACTTGTTCTAAAATATTTTCACTTTCTTTTTCTCAATTCAGATGATGTGCCTTATGGATCACCTTGGATCCTCTTGGCCTCTCTGTCCCCCAGTAGTCACTCCTGGTATATAGTGGATCCATAAGTACAAAGGCTTCACCTGTGGTTGACAGAGTGGAGACATGGGTGGAGATAATGTTCTGAGGGGGCACAATGATATTTGTAAGAACTAAGTGCAGGAGGAATTCTCTTGATGCTATTGGAACTTTTCAAAAAATATATATAGGCTCAGGGTAGTTAACCACCAATTTATGAGACTCATCTCCAGCAATCATAGGGCAAGTAGATGGTGCTAAGAAGATCCAGGTTTTCATTTAACACGTAGCAGAACTGCAAAAAAAGACTGAACATGCAGCCTGACTTCTAAGTCAAAGCTAGAGCCCTGCTGAAAAAAAGGATGAGACTCTAAGACACAGGAGGGTTTTTTACCTGGACCAGCCTGAGAATGGCAAGCCCCCTATATCCCCCAGGCACTCTGAGCACCCAGAAGCAGCACTACTCCTCTGTAGCCAGAATAAACCCACATCTCCTTGTTTGGAGACTTCAAAATGGCTACACCTAAAGTGGCTGTCTTATCAGATGATGCCGTTCTCCTTTATATTGGCAGGTCACCAAAACCTCTGCAGAGTCCTCTGAGGCTCCCTCAATCTGGGCCTCCACTCAGTCATTTGTGTATTAGGGAGAGGCTGGGCAGCACGAGTCAGGGCTCCTTCTCAAAGTTACCAAGGTAGAGAGTCACCAAGAAGGACAGTCACCACGGTCACTCTACTTCTTTTTTTTTTTTTTTTTGGTCACTCTACTTCTATCCACACCTCTTCTTCCCTTCCTGGAGCCCTAGCCAATATTGTCTAGTATTTTAGGAGAGCTGTCTCTCCTCAACCCCCAAATATTCCCAAGTTTTCCCTCTAGAAAGAGTCCTCTATTCTCCCTAGCATCTTAGGCTCCTAGAAACCAAAGCCAACAGGAAATCCTCCCGTTATTTTCTGCTTTCTGCACTGAGGCCACGAGTTCACGAGAACCTCACTGCTTAAGCATGGGAAAGGACAGATAAGGGAACAATCAGGAAGGAGTAAATGGGACTTCAAAAAATATTAACGCATCACTGTAAAAATAAATAGAAAAATGGCGCAGGCATAAATGACTCCAAGAGAGGGACATAACTCCCTGTCAAAGCAAGATTCTATATGAAAACATCTAATCCTCCACATTGGCCAGGTTGCAAATCACTATTTGCAATCTATCTTAAAATAGGATGCAGTAAAAGCAAAATTGAAAGAGACAGAAAAACCTCCTCACACAACTTAACACAACTTTGATTCCTTCCCAGCAACTTTTGAAAGGCTCTTTCAAATAACACAGACCCTGATTCCTTTGATTATTACCTGGCTCCACGGAAAAACCTGAGTGCAAGCATCTGTTAGGTGAATTTTTTGATCAGCTTGTTTTAAAAGCTTGCCAAAACTCACCGCTGAAAGGGTTTCCTGATACCAGAGCTGGACACATATCTCTGTTCATAAACAAACACATTTATTAGGAAATGATTTTCATCAGCTGCATATAAATGCACATCTTTACCCTGTAAATCAGAATCCTTGTCATGCAATCATTTTGCCTTTAAATTTCCATCCCAGAACAACAGTATCCCAGAGAGGTATACACAATAGCTTTAAATTTAAATGCCAGCCTGAACATAGACCTCACATCAGGCCTATTTTCTGAGTGCCCCAAAATACAAAATATAAATTGCATTTTAGCTGCATTAATCTGCTCATAGCCAAAAAAGCAACTGTCTATCAGCTATTTATTAAAAGATGTTTTAGAGCATTCCAGATGCCTTCAATCAAGTATTGTAGCTGCTTAGAGTTGCATTAAATTAGTTTATCTTCAGTCCAAAGTTTCGCTTCATTCATGAAATAATATAAGTTGATCCCTTAGATAAAATAAAATAAAATAAAATAGAAGTTGGAGGCTTTCCAACTGTTTTCATGAATGTTCGCCATCACTTTAATCACCTTGCGTAGTAAACACGCGTGATTGATAGAGCTGAAAGACCACTTCCCTTTTGAGGACCCAAAGGCATCATTTGGGGGTGATGTGCCTGAGATTGGCTGGAAGGCACACATTCCTGGGAAACCAAAAAATGGTGAGCTTCACAGCCCTAATAAAATAGAAAATTAACTACACAATTTCAATGTAGTTATCAACATCCACTCAAGCTATTTTTTAAAAAGAGGAAATAAATCAAATTTATCAGTCACACTTGACAACTGTCTGAAAACAGTCCAGGATGCAGCAAACCTCAGCAAAAGCTACCTCATAGTCACCAAACATATATGACCAGCAGCCAACAACAATATACACTGAAACCCAGCCATCCTGCCTGCCAAGCTATTTTATGTGTTTCATTCTGGAAGTGGGATTACCTGTTATTTTCCTATGTCATTTTCATTAAATAAACTAAAGAATAGGTTTGAGTTTATCATATTCAATGGATAGAAAAGAAAAATCTGTATGTCGTAGAAAGAGATATATATTATGCAGGGGGATATCCTACATATATATAACATTCCAAAACCTGACTTATTGTTTTGCTTAATTTTAAATGGTTTATTTATGCATCACTATTTGTTTGAGTACTGTGTGAATCTAGGTACTAGGCACCAGGAAAAAAAAAATATATATATATATACACACACATATATATTAAAGGAACCAAAATGTTCCTTCAGCACAAACACAAGCTGGGTCTCAAAAATAGTTTACAATGCAAGGGATAAAGAGCGTTCCCACATTTGGCCTTTATCAGCAGAATTCTCATATGTGAGCC